GATAATTATTACTATATAGAGACAATTTTTCTTAAGACGGGAATTAGAAAAATTATAATCTATTACAATGTGGAGTTTATTCTTATTTATAACTGTCTCAAATTAGGAATATAATTTTTTACAACTATGTAAAGTTTATTCTTATATAGAGTATCACTTTAGAGAGGTTTTACTGTATTATCTTTATGCCAAAATTTTAAAAATTTTGAGATCCTAATAAATAATTAAACATATTTCATACAAAATAACTATTTTGATCCGTCAGATTCCGTTTGCAATATGTAAACATTAGCATTTTGGGTATTTCATTTATATCACACGATTCACATCAAAAATTATAAAACTGTCTCTAAACAATTTCCTTTTGGGACAAATTATTAATTTTTTATTTTGCCACTTTAATTATTTTATCCATAGTGTTAAACGTGAATGGAACTTTCCCTTATTTAGGCGGTTCCTTTTTAAAATTGGTTGTCTTTATCCTTTTATCAAATCCGCAATTCCTTTTAGGGTACATTTGTTTGGGGTTATATAGGATTACTGAGCTAATGTCATCTTATATTACTTGATTACTATGTTTGGTTGTCAAGTAATATAAGATTCTGATAATCTTCCAACACCAATAATAGTTGGTAATATAAAAGGTAATCTAATTATCTCTATTTTTTTAGGTATTTCAAGATTATTTAGTAATCTTATTTTTATTACAGTTTTATCCTTTATTAATAAAATTTTAGGACAGTAATGCTCTTGTTTTAAAAGCAATTTACAAAAATACCCATTGACTATTTTATCATTATATACTATTGATGTGTGACACAAATTCTTTTTATATTGTCCTTATCTATTTAGGTGGTAAGGGCATTTTTGTATTCTCAAGAACTTAGGGTTTTAGTATATAAACTCTTTAATGTCATTGATGAGAAACTATTCTATTTTTCTTTATTCTTTTTCTTCTAGAAATCTATTGAGAAAAAAAGATGAGCTCAAATTTGTAATCAGACTTTCATTATGGTGGATTATTCTCCATCATCTACCTGTGGTTTTTCCCAATTTGGGTTTCCACGTAAATTCTTTGGGTATCACTTGTTTTATATTTCTCGCTTGTTTCATTTGACTTTCATAGATTTTGGGCATATTTTATAACAAACTGGTATCAAAGCTTGGTGTAATGGCATCAACTTCAAGATCCGGCACGACTGGATTATCCTCTATGGCTGAAATTGAGAAGTTTGATGGTACAACAAGCTTTGCAATATAGCAAGTTAGAATGATGGTAGTATTGACAAAGGAAGGTACCAAGATGGCGCTACGAGAGAAGGCAAAAACGCCGAGACTATGACAGATGCTGAATGGGAGGATATGGATGAGAAGGCACTTTCATCAATCCAGCTAGCATTGACTTCCTGATATCATAATCATCAATTATAACATATACATCTATCAAGGAGGAAAAAAAAAAAAAAAAACTCTATTTAATAAAATTATAATCTGTCATTTCAATAGATATGCCCACAATTTTTTAAGATATTAATCTTCTTCTTATTGGCTTCTTGCTTCCCCGAATACCACACCTAGGGGTGAAATCGAGTCGAGTTCGAGTACAGTATACTCGAACCGACTGTACTAGAACTCGACTTGATTGCTACAGTACCGAGTTTGAATATCTGAGTACTCGAACTCGACTTGATTGCTACAGTACCGAGTTTGAATATCTGGGTACTCGAACTCGACTTGGTTGCTATACTATCGAGTTCGAGTTCAAGCCTGGTTGAGCCTAATGAATTGAGTTCAAACTCGAACTCGATATCTAAAAGTCGAATTCGAGCTCGGTTAATCAAGTTTTAGTTGAGCTTTTCAAGCTTAATCGAGATTTTTATACAGTGATCGAACTCGACTCGCGAGATTATTTGAGCTATTTGAACTCGAATTTGACTCGACTAATACCGAGTCGAATTCAAGTCAAAGTTGAGCCGAGCTTGAGTAGCTCAACTCGGTTTTCACCCGTAAACCCACATAAATAGAAGATCGATGTAATTATAATAACCTGACTCTTGTGTTCTCTCTTAATCACTCTTTTTCATATACATAAATATGAGCATGCACCGACATTACCACCAATAATGTTTACCTACTCTCTTGAAGTTTTGACTTTTGAGTTATGTTGTCTAAACTTTCACACTATCTTACTGGAAAATATAACCTGGCATATGTTAAAAATTCATTGATATATTAAAATTTTGTTTTATAATGTTCTTAATGCGCACCCTAAACCCAATTTCTGGGTGTTACAGTGAAATCCTTGATGGCCCACACGCTCTCCGTTGATCAGAAAAATGTAAAAGATGAGTAATAGTAAATGGACCTAAAAAAGACAAAGTTTTTTGACAACTTCCTAGAAGGCTTGAATTGCGGGGCTCGGGCTCTAGAGACTCCAGAGTTACAGGGCATGCGGGTATTTTAGCTTGGAAAATTATTATAAAAAGTGGTTAAGGCCAATTGTGTTGGCTGTATTTGATTGGTTAGCGGTTTGAGAACTCTACATACTGGTACCAAATAAAATTCTAAACCCTGAAAATTTTGAGATACCTTTTTAGTCCCTTTCATTATTATTATTATTATTATTATTATTATTATTATTATTATATACGCACACTAGGGTCGGCCAGCTCCCTCATTGGGATATTCGGTTTATTAGTATTATGTTCTAAATTCCTAAATTACTTGATCCACTAATTAAATTCAAAAATTCAAAAAGAAATACTACAAAATTTTAGATTATAAATAAATAAGACTCGTCTTGTGTTTACTATCATTTATTTAAATTCTAAATAAATAATAGTAATTGCTTTTTTCTATTAAAAGTTGTTAAAATGGCTAATGATGCTTATCGTTGCCTAGGCCAACATTACAATTATTGTGATCAACAGTAACAAATACGAACCAACAACTTCTTCATGATATACAAGAGAAATAATAAGTATCAATTAAAAAGATATGGCTTCCCACCCAAACTTCGTTTATTTATGCCCTATTTTCTATCGCTCTTAAGTTGTTATTTGGTATTATTTATATTCTTATCAATAAAATAATTAAACAAAATTATATATTATCACCTCCAGAACAGAAATACATACTAAATTTATTTGTCTCATATTTTAAAATAAAAAATTATTTACGCCTTTAGTAATATATATTTGAAATTTAAATAAAAAGAATTATAATTTCAGCGTTTATAATAACTCTACATTTACCCTTATGTAAAAGTTAGAAAACTTTAATATATATTACTAACAGACAGAGTTTGAGTTGGTAGAACATCGTTATCCGATCCACTAATTAAATTCAAGAACAAAATTTTAGATTATAAATAAATAAGACTCTTTTCATGTTTATTGTAATTTATTTAAATTCTAAATAAATAATAGTAATTGTCTGTTACTATCAAAAGTTGTTAAAATGGATTAATCATGGCCCAGGGCGACATGTTTTAAAATTATTTTAGCTCTGATGTTTAAATTAATTTTATGTTAATATTGGTATTTAGATACCTTTAATTTTTTGCATAATGATAATTTATTAATAAGCATTTTATTAAACCGCAACTTTGCTGAACAAAAAGAAAGAAAGAAAGACATAAGTGTCACCAAATCAGACGATATGAAAGAATAATAGTAGAGGGCAAGAAACCGAGAAAATAAATATCAATTAGATAAGGCTAAGGAAGAAAAGACAGGGAAAAATAAAGAAAAAAAGACGATCGAAAATGGCACATTACAATTATTGTGATTCGGGTTCGATTCCCGCTACCCGCCCCATGAACAAATACCAACCCAAGTACTTCATAATATCCAAGAGAAATAATAAGTACATCTAAGTATTTAGTAATATATATTAGAATACCGATTGAGTCAGAAATTCTATTTAGGCCTTTCGACTTTATTCTCATTAAATATAAAGTATTAATTTTTTTTTCGAATCATAAAATACCGATTGAGTGAGAAAAATGGAGGGTGTGAAAGTTTAGACAAAAGAATAGAAACTTTGAGAGAGAGATAGATTGTCGAGTATAACAAGAAAATCGATCTGGATAAGAATTGGTTGGGTGAGATTTAGTTTTAATACAAACCCGTGAATGGTGATAATGTCGGTGTTCATATTAGCTATAAGTATGCATAAGAGTGAATAAGAGAAAACACTGTCACTCACTACTGTTACTTAAATAAGTTTCTTCATGATTGATTCTCTTAATAAAATAAACAAATCCACATCTTGTTCAGTTTTTATGTATAAAAAAGAAAAAATCAGTGGATCAATGTAACTGCATATTTAAGTTTCTGAGGGATAACAAAACTGCTCAGAGGTCATCAGATTTCGCAACGCACATTTTTTTGTCTTCATTTACCTCAATGGATGCTTGGGAATTTCAGCCATAAATAAGAGGTATTTTCCAGTTCTATGCCAACCAAGCATTCATACTAAGATCTTATATTTTTAGTGTTATTATAGATAAGTGTTACAATTGATTAGTGTTAGATTTTTTAATTTAACTGAAATTATACAGTTGCTTGTATGTAAAATTTTGGATTTATGAAACTATATGTGAGAAGAAAATATGTCAAAATGTAGTTTCTTTCTCCATTCCTCTTTTGTTTGCTTGTGTTATCACGTTTTATTTAATTTCTTCGTAATTGATAACACTCTATATGTGTTACAAAAAATAAATTAGTAACACTAATTAAATGCTATTAATGTTTAAAACTTTTAGTAATTGGGGTTGTCATAACACACTCATTAATGTTACCGTTTACTTTTGATAACACTTATTATGTGTTATCAAATAACAATTTTGCTGTATTACAGGGTCTTAGGGAGATTAAATAGTTAAAATTTTAAGTAAGAGGGACAATATAATACATGTAATAAACCGATGTCACTAAATGTAAATTCCATTGTAATTGTAAAAATCAAATACGCAAATATTAAAAGACTGAGCTAATTTACCCGTTTAGCCAAGAATACCATGCAACTGCAACAACAGCTCCGACGAATTTAAAAAAGTATCTGATCCCTATAACTTGCAACTTTGCCCTGATACGATTCCAACCATTGCCGTAGAACGATCTCAGATCCTTTAAAACACCGGCGTAACAGTAATCACTTTGTGGTATTTGATGGCAAAGTTTATTAAACATTTCAACTACTACATCACTGTCGCCCACAGAATTTTTAATAATTTCCTTCTCAATAAGCAGATTCACATCATCTACAGAGTAGATAAGTAAATTCAGTAGTTTAATATAACTACATATGTAAGTTTCTGATGGATAATGACACTGCTCCAAGGCCATCACATTTCGAATCAAACTTTCTGTGTCGTCTTTTATTTCAATGCGTGGGATTTGGAGTGTAAGCATTGGAAAGATCATAGGTCCTCTGTCTCTTCTTGTTAAGTTTATTTCAACCAAACATTTAGTCAAAAGACGCCTAAGATTCACTCCTAAATCTCGCAACTTGACTGCATTAGGTAAGTCTTCCATGATGGCTCTTTCTGAATTCACTATTGAATGAATTTCCTCTTCAAAATGTCCTGGGTCCAATAGTGGCTCACTTTCCTCCTCAGCTTGTGGCTCGTCCGCGATGGTTGTTGGCTGAATTTCCACTTGAGCTTGTAATTCTTCCTTGATAGTGGGATGGATTTCCTCTTGAGCTTGTAAATATTCGGTGATGGTAGGATGGGTTTCCTCTTGAGATTGTAAATCTTCCATGATGGTGGAATGGACGTTCACTTGAGATTGAAAATCTTCCGTGATGGTTATGAGTTCAATTTCCGCTTCAGCGCGCAAATCTTCAGTGACGGTTGTTCGATCAATATCCTCTTCAGAATGTAATGCCATTGTGTGGTTTTCGTCTTCAGCAAGTAAATCTTCCCTGATGTCTATTGAGTGAAAGTTCTCTTGAGTCTGTAAACCTTGCGTGGTGGCTCCACTTGTTTTGGTTGTCGGCTGAGTTTCCACTAAAGCAAGTCTATACAAATCGGTGAAGTGTTTTATCTCTCTTCTGTTTTGCGAGCAATGGAGGTGAAAAAATGTACAAGAAAGTGCACGGAAGGGAGGAAATAACTTTCCATCTCGGTCACTGGTGGAGGCTATGTTTGGGTTAATGGTGGAGACTGATCCATTTGAGTTTCTGGTGGAGGCTGTTGTTGCCGTCGTGTCGGATCTGAAGGAGGCTACATCTTGGGTGGTGGAGGCAGAGACCGAGTTATATAATTCCTCAAGCACAAAATATGGAAGTTGATTTTCAAGTAATAGTAAGTCCCGTCTTATAGCTAATAGTCGTAACTAATTTAGCAAAAAGTCAACTTCATTGTTACGATATCTCAAGAAGAGTTCGATGATGAACACAGCATCAGTTAAAATCATTTCCACAAACTCATCACTCGGTAACTCTAAGGGTTCTGCATAATAACGGCAGATTTCTTGTTTTCGGTTTTCCACAAAGGTCTTGAGTTTCTCCCATTTATCCCAACCAAATCGTTGAATAAATTTCTTTTTATACCTTCTTTTCTCCTTATCCATGCCAACTAAGTTTTCTTTACCACGATGAAAGGGACCAACTGAAATTAATTGAGGAGTATCCCCTTAATCCTTTGATTGTGCAGAATTGGCCACGACAGCATTGATTCAATCTTCTATGGGTCCTCTTTACCCCTTCGATGAACTTAAGTAACAAATACGCCAATCTCCGATGGGCAAACAAACACTTCTTGTAATTTACTACTAATTCATGCTCTGTGAGGATTTGAAAGGCATGTCTCATGTGGAGCAGATGAGTCTTCAAATTAGGGCTGTAAATGAGAATATTATCAAAAAAAAGAGTATGAACTTCCTCAAAACCGGTTTAATATGGTATTCATTAAATCTTGAAAGGTGGAAAGGCATTGGTTAATCCAAAAGGCATGACCAGGAATTCAAATGCCCTTCGTGAGTTCGAGGTTGTTTGGGTACGTCCTCCTCTTAATCCTAATTTGGTGGTAACCTGATTTTAGATCCAGCTTCCTAAAAATTGTTGCCCCTAATAGCTCACAGCAATTCATCAATTGAGGGGATAAGGAACTTTTTTGGGATAGCGAGGTTATTGAGTGCCCTGTAATCGACACAAAAACACCAACTACATCTTTCTTCTTAACCAATAACACAGGGCTAGCAAAGGGACTGGTACTAGGTTGTATAATTCCTGCCACCAGCATCCACCCACCAACTTTTTTTTTTTTATTTTTTAAGAATAGGAGTATTTTTATGGGCGAATGTTAGGCGGTTGGCATTAGTTTCTGAGACTATTGCATGGTCAGTGGGTCGCTTAGTTGGTAGCTTGGTAGGCTATTCAAACAGGTGGCTAAATCCATCTACAACTGCAGCTGATGCAAGATCACAGGTTCCTCTGTTTCCTCTCCCTTAATGCGCTGGAACAAAATTCAATCATATAACCCAAATCCTCCCTCTGTAGAGATTGTAGTATTGCTTTAAGTGACAAACGTCTTGACTAAAGAAAGATCCCTTGTAAAAGTACCATTCCCTTCACTGATAAATGCCATTGTAAGATTTTTCCAATTGGCACACAAATCACCAAGTGTACTCAACCAAGAAATTCCCAGCACCACATCTGCCTCTCCTAATTCAAATGGAAAAAAAAAAATCCTGCCTTAATTCAATCCCTGTATCCTCAAATTCACTCCCCTGCAAATACCTTCCCCTTGACCGTAAAGTCATCCCTACCATAACCCCAAAAGATTTTCCTCTCTCAACTGCCAGACCTAATTTCACACCAAATCATGCAAAATAAAATTGTGGGAAGCCCTACTGTCAACCAAAACAATCACCTCCTCCCCTCTAATCATCCTTTGAGTTTTAGAGTTTTATTGTGGTTACCCCTACAATTGAATGCTTCGATAAAGCCAAAGGGTTACCTTCATCGGAAGCTTCTGAGATGGGTTCAGGACGATTTAATCTTTTTCAGCTCATCGTTGTTGGTCACTAACAGGATTTGGAGCAACCTGCTCTTGCATCTATGATTTGGCCCAAATTTCTCATCGCACAAATCACATGGATAAGTAATCTAGGAGTGTGGCAGGAATAGTACCCAACAAAAGATCATAAATATGTGTTATTTTCTTGTGAGTCCTCTTTATGATTCCTCTTTAACCTTTATGCTTTAAGAAAAGGCAAGAGAAATCTCACAGCTTCAAAGAAGCTTGTATGTTTCAACAAATAGGATATCCAACCACGAAACATACCTATACAACTGTCATTTTCAAGAGAAACTTATTCTTGAGACGCAGTATATTTCACCAACATCTAAACTAGAGCTAATGGTGGGCTAAACAAATAATATAATATATATATATAATATAATATATATATTATATATATATAATATATATATATATATATAAACACACCACTGGTTGATGTCCCACCAATTTGTTTTGTCATTTACAATGTGCTGTGAGTTAAAGTTTCACTTTTACCTTCACTTTGCATTTTGGGAAAAATTAGTTTGCGGCTTTCCTATTCAATACTAGAAACCATTTAATCAAATTTTTTCTTTCGCAGGTGGCAAACCTAAACATAAGCAGAGGACTGCAGGAAGTTAAATAAAAATATAAGTCAAATGTTCATATATTGGTAATAGGCATAAACACTTTGCGTACCTTTAACAGAAGCTATTTCTTTGTGTATGCATATATCTTCATCCATTGACCTTATCAAATTGTTCTTGAGATCTGCCCATACAATACTTGCGTTTGTCTCATAAACAACCCCATCAAAAATTTCTTTAGACACTGAATTAAAGATCCATGATAGTACGATGACATTTACTCGCTCTCAAAGATTGTGGAAAGAAGAATCAAGAGTGGATTTGGGCAATTCTTGGCTGTGATGCGATAATCATTGCTTTGCTCCAATGTGAATAATTCTCAAATCCTGTTAATTGTTGAGAAACAATCATCACACTAGCTAGGACTATCACTCGGATGAAGATTGAATGGATTGTGAAAATCAATTTGATTTAACGCTGACATCATAGTTTTATTCCTTTGTTGCTCCATTCATGCAAATCAATTTGATTTTGGTTTCGAAAACAAATTGGAGAATTGAATTAAGACGTAATTTAAGGCTATGAAATAGAAGGGAAATTAGGATCAATTGATTGTATTATTGAAAAATCGCATTCTTGCTCTGATAACATGTTGGAATCGTGTTTGGAGAGAAGAAAGAAAAAAAAAAATTGTTCTGTTATTCATCTTTATCAAAGTATAGTACAGTCTTATAAAAATTCTTTACAGACCTTTTAAACTAAAGAGAAAATACACAATTGCCCTTAATCAGAAAAGACTACTTACACCTAAATATATTAATAGAACATTTATAAAGTAATTATGAAAGAACGAACATTTATAAATAAAGTAAATAACCTGAGCTTTCTGGCCGAGAAGAAATACTTTGTATGGCTGAGTAGAGAGCAAGATCTTCTCCTCTTGTGCTTCCCCGAATGCCGCACAATAGGTTATGAATTATGAAACCACTTTGTGTTATCTCTTTACCACTCTTACATATACTTATATGTTACCTTCATATTGGGGGCTTATTATCTTCATAATATTGCTGCAAAGGTTGGACATCCAAACACATAAATCATATAAAAAGCAAATTAGTAAGAGAACATTACGAGATGCTTAATTTTATTTTTTCATGTAAGCTTGAAAATAAGTTCATTTTAGTTACAATTTGTCTCTTGATCATTAGCTAGGTACAAAATAAGTTCATCCACATATAAAAATTAACCAATTAATCATTTAAAAATATTACACTAAAAACAACAAAGCCGTTGCACCATACATAAAGTAAAATTACAAAGCATATTTACGTTAGACAACTTGCAGGATAGAAAATACAGTTTGTGCCAAGTGAGTAGCAGGAGTTAATTGCAGCAACAGTTGCCGTGGCCAATAAGCTCGGATTTCGAATGGATAGAAAAAAGCTTCGGATGGTACTGACACAATCTAAGGCCATCAGATTTCGAATCAAACATCCGTGTTGTCAGTTATTTCAATATGTGGATTGCAACTCAACTTTATTAGAAAATGACATTGGTCGTTTGGTGAGTTGAACGTCAACCAAATATTTACCCCAACTACGCTGAAATTTCACCCAGAATTTTTCAATTTGACCACGTTTGGTACAGCACCGAGGGACCTCAATGAGAATTTAGACTTAGCTCGGCGGAATTTCCACTAGAGCATATCTACACAAATCAGTGAAATGTTTAATTTTGACTTCAACACTTTGATATGAAGTGGTCTGTTGGGCGGGAGATGGAGTTGAAAGAAAACGCAGAAAGATCACTGAAGGGCATTTCAAAATGAGAAACTTCATTTCCGTGGCGTAGGTGTGGCCAATTTATATATCTCATCAGCACAAAATACGGGAGCTGATTTTCGAGTAACCATAAGTCCCGTTTTATAGGTGCTAGCCACACCTCAGTTAGCAAAATCATCTTTATATCCTAATAAAAATCTCAAAAGGCTCGATGATGAAAGCAGCATCCAGTAGAAAATTTCTTTAAAGTCAACGCTGCCATAAGATCGTCAGGCAGCTCTGCATAATGATGGCCGATTCGAGTTTCGTTCGCCTGATCAAGATCTTTTGCTAAAATAAAAGTACTTTTAATACAAAAATTTTGATTACAAATATGAGCATTAGATAATTATAATTAATGTTTAATTGTTGATCATTTGCTCCTATAATCTCTCTTTTGTTTTTTCGTAATATTTGTTAGAATTAATCCTTCTCTTATACAGTTTTGATCTGCTCCAGTGTCTACTAGGGCTTGT